ACAACGCCCGGCTGTTTTTTGGTTGTAGTTGTCATTGTTGTTTGGCAGGCTGGGGCTGGATTCGAACCCACCAGCTTCAGTGTATGTGGCTGGCGCCCTAGCCGCTGAGCTACAGGCACCGAGCCAGGAAGACATTTTTTTTTTTTAAAGGATAGTACCTAAAGCTGTAGGCCATCTACCATATAAAGGCAGTCCCTGAATTACAAACATCTGACCAACATACGGCTCTCCTGACATACAAATAAAGGTTATAGGTAATAGGTAAATGTACCTGTTTCGGCTATTTATAAATTCAACTTAAGAACAAACCTACTTAAGAACGTTTCTCGTTTGTAACCCAGGAACTATATATTTTTTTCACATTTGGAAATATTATATGTACAGGCGGCGCCTATGGCTCAAAGGAGTAGGGTGCCGGCCCCATATACTGGAGGTGGCGGGTTCAAACCCAGCCCCGGCCAAAAAAGTGTGTGTGTGTGTATATGTGTATATGTTATGTAGTGCTATACTTAATTGGAATATATAATTTTCATTATTATTTTTTATTTATTTTTCTTTATTTTAGAGACAGGCGCTTACTCTGTCACCCAGGTTGGAGTGCACAGAATGGAGTACAATGGCTAGATTACAGCTCACTGTAACCTCAAATTCCTAGGCTGAGCCTCCTGAGTGGCTACAACTGCAGGCATGTGCCGCTACACCTGGCTGATTTTAAAAAAATTTTTTGTAGAGATAGAGTCTCTCTGTGTTGCCCAGGTTGGTCTTGAACTCTCAGCCTCAAGGCATCCTTCTGCCTCAACCTCCTAAAGTGCTGAGATTACAGGCATGAGACAGCCTTAATTGTTATTTTAAAGGCTGATATTTTGGGGGGAATTGTTTGAAGCGTTACTTTTGAGAGTTAATGTAAATATTTGACAACTGTTAGCTTAGCTGTATTACTTTTATTTTTTTATTTTTTTTTATTTTTTTTTTATTTTTATTTTTATTTTTTTTGAGACAGAGCCTCAAGCTGTCCCCCTGGGCAGAGTGCCGTGGCATTACAGCTCACAGCAACCTCCAACTCCTGGGCTCAAGCGAGTCTCCTGCCTCCGCCTCCCAAGTAGCTGGGACCTCAGGCGCCCGCCACAACGCCCAGCTATTTTTTGGTTGCAGCCATCATTGTTGTTTGGCGGGTCCAGGCTGGGGATTCGAACCCGCCACCTTAGGTGTACGTGGCTGGCGCCTTAGCCGGTTGAGCTATAGGCGCCGAGCCAGCTGTATTACTTTTAAATGCTAGGTTGCACATTAAACATAAGTGCTTTTTCTTTGTTTGTTTGTTTTTTTGTTCTTTTGTTTGTAGAGACAGAGCCTTACTTATCGCCCTCGGTAGAGTGCCCTGGCATCACACAGCTCACAGCAACCATCAGCTCCTGGGCTTAAGCAATTCTGTTGCCTCAGTCTCCCGAGTAGCTGGGACTAAAGGTGCCCGCCACAAGGCCTTGGCTGTTTTTTTGTTGCAATTTGGCTGGGGCTGGGTTTGAACCCACCACCCTCTGTATATGGGGCCAGCACCCTACCCACTGAGCCACAGGTGCCACCCCAATTAAGGCTTTTTAAATAGTGGTCTGATATATGAATTTATCTATTTCACTGATAGGAGAAAAAAGTGGTAGCAATGTGAGTTCTTGTTTATTTGAACAAATCTAGTTTTCAGTAGTAATTTTAAGATGGTTAACTGAAGGGAACAGGAAAAGCAAGGAAAAAGAAGAATCATTTCTGGTATTATTGCTATAAAGCCTGTTCATTTATTCTCTGTCACATCAGTCCATTGGATTGCTGTCAGTGTCTGTCCTTGAACCATAAAGTAGCAGCTTCGTTCACTGAAGCTCTGAAGTAGTTGTGAATGGTTTCAACATTATGTTGGCTAAACCATTATATTACACTGCTGAGGTGAAATGTATCTTTTCTTGGCCCATGACTGATCCAACCAGGCTTTAATACTAACTAATAGCAGAGTGATTTGCTGAGGTCAAAAAGTTAGACTGTCTATAAATTTTAAGGTATCTATTTGAAGAGAAAGCCATTCAGACCAAAAGTCAGTTACTAGTCTTTAAACAAAACAAAATTTTAAGTCTTTAATAATGCACCCACACAAAGCTTAGTTCTTCAGGTCATCACTGGCCTGAATTTATTTTATATTTTTGTTGTTGTTGTTGCAGTTTTGGCTGGACCTGGGTTTGAACCCACCTCCCTTGGCATATGGGACCAGTGCCTGAATTTATATTTAGCTAGATTTGCTTTCGTGAACTTGAAGTGTGCAGATGTCCCCACTGAGAAAAAAATTGCAGAAGCATTATTATACTTTTAGTTAAATCATGTAGCTATATTAGAAATATACAGGATGGTTTTAGTTTTTTTGAGACAGTCTCACTTAGTCATTCTCAGTAGAGTGCTGTAGAGTCTTAGCTCACAGCAACCTCATACTCTTGGGTTCAAGTGATCCTCTTGCTTCAGCCTCCCAAGCACCTGGGACTTCAGGGCACCCACCACAGCACCTGGCTATTTTTTTTTGAGACTGGGTCGCTCTGGCTCAGGCTAATCTTGAAACTGTGAGCTCAGGCAATCTACCTGCCTTGGCCTCCCAAGTGTTGGGATTACAGGCATGAGCCACTGTGCCTGGCCAGAATAGTTTTAGTTTTTTTTCCTTTTTTTTTTTTTTGAGACAAAGTCTCACTATGTTGCTTTTGGTGGAGTGCTATGGCATCACAGCTCACAGCAACCTCAAACTCTTGAGCTTAAGCAATTCTCTTGCCTCAGCCTCCCAAGTAGCTGGGACTACAGGT